CTCCCCTGGTTTGGGGAAGTTTTCAGTAATTATTTCTTCAAATACACTTTCTATCCCTTTTTCTCTCTTCTTCTTCTTCTGGTACCCCTATAATGTGGATATTGTTCCTATTGGATTGGTCACACAGTTCTCTTAATATTGTTTCATTTCTGGAGATCTTTTTATCTCTCTCTGCATCAGCTTCTATGTGTTCCTGTTCTCTGGTTTCTATTCCATCAATGGCCTCTTGCATTTCATCCATTCTGCTTTTAAATCCTTTCAGAGATTGTTTTATTTGTATATTCTCCCTCCTTAGCTCTTGCATCTCTGAAGATCAATCAGCATGTTTAAGACCTTTATTTTAAATTCTTTTTCAGGAAGACTGGTTAGTCTGTCTCCCCAGATTCCTTTTCAGGGGAGACTGCCTGGGTTAATCTGGTCTGTGTCAAATTCTTCTGCCTTTTCATGGCAATATAGTTGTGGGTAGTTGGCACTTGTCAGCTGGGAGAACGTCCCTTCTTGCTAGTTTGTGGCCTTCCTCTCCTGGGAGAACAGCGACCTCTAGCGGGTTGTGCTGGGCAGTTGTGCACAGACAGGGTTTCCGATTTTTGCCTGGCCGCTGTGAAGGAAGCTCCGCACCTGGTTGCTATGGGCATGGCAGCTCTTAGGCTGCTGCTCCGCTATGGCAGGGCTGCGCCACTGTGAGAATGGGCGGGAGGCTGTTTATCTCCGTGAGGGGCCTTGGAGCTGCACTGTTACCCTAGGGGTTAGGCCCCCCAGAGTTCCCCGGGTTCCCAGTTGCTGGGGTAAGTGTCCCGGGACGACTCTGTCCAGATGTGGGTTCCCTGTCCCTTTAAGACTTTCAAAATACATTCACTTTTCTTTGTCCCAGGGGCACCGGCTGCGGGGACCCGCTCGCAGGTTTTACTGCTCTGTTTCCCTAGAATCCAGCATCCCATGCACTGTGTGTCTGTGCTCCTGGTGCGGATGGCTGGGGCTGGGTGTTCAGTAGTCCTGGGCTCCCTGTTCCTTCTGGTCCGACTCCTCTCCTCCCACCAGGAGCTGGGGTGAGGGGTGCTTGGGTCCCGCCAGGCTGGGGCTTGTATCTTACCCCCTTCATGAGGCATAGGGCTCTCGCAGGTGTAGATGTAGTCTGGCTGTTGTCCTGTGTCTTCTGGTCTCTCTTTTCGGAATAGTTGTATTTGTTGTATTTTCAAAAATATTTATGTTTTTGGGAGGAGATTTCCGCTGCTCTACTCACACTGCCATCTTAGCTCCTAACTCTCTGGCTGCTTTTAATAGTCTGTCTTTATCCTTGATCTTTGCCATTTTAATTACTATATGTCTTGGCGTTGTCCTCCTTGGGTCCCTTGGGTTGGGATATCTGTGCACCTCCATGGCCTGAGGGACTATCTCCTTCCCCATATTGGGGAAGTTTTCAGCAATTACCTCCTCAAAGACACTTCCTATCCCTTTCCCTCTGTCTTCTTCTTCTGGTACCCCTATAATGCAAATATTGTTCTGTTTGGATTGGTCACACAGTTCTCTCCATATTCTTTCATTCTTAGAGATCCTGTTTTCTCTCTGTGCCTCAGCTTCTTTGTATTCCTCTTCTCTAGTCTCTATTTCATGACTGTCTCCTCCACCATTTGCAACCTGCTTTTAATGCCCTCCATTGTGTTCTTCAACAGTTGGATCTCCGTCCGGAATTCATTCCTGAGTTCTTGAATATCTTTCTGTACCTCCATGACCATGTTAATGATTTTTATTTTGAACTCCCTTTCAGGAAGAGTTACAAGGTCCATGTCATTTAAATCTTTCTCAGGAGTTGTATTAATAACTTTACTCTGGACCAGGTTCCTTTGGCGTTTCATGTTTGTATATGGTGCCCTCTAGTGTCCAGAAGCTCTACTCTCTGGAGCTGAGCAGCCCTTGAAACAATGTCGGGAGTTGCAGGGGGGTGGTACTGGTGCCTGGGGGTAGGAAAGAGTCCTGCTTCCCAGCTTCTATGCCTGCCTCCACTGCCTGAACCAGTGGACCGAGCACACAGGTATAAGCTTTTGTCCCAGAGCAGCCAGATATGGTTCCCTGCTTTCCACAAGAAACCGGAATCCCAGTGTCCCCAGGAACTCTGCCTGTCCCAGTTTTCCAACCCCGTAATCACGAGAGTATGATGAAAGCACCATAAAGTGTCGGTTTGTGCTCTCAGAGCAGATCTCTGGAGCTAGGTATTCAGCAGTCCCAGGCCTCCAGTCCCTCCCTGCTCAGTTTCTCTTCCTCCAGCCAGTGAGCTGGGGTGGGGGAGGGGCAGCAGTCCTCAAGGTGGTTTGGGTGGTGCAGGGCCTAGGCCTTAATGTAATACCAAATTACATAGGGAGAAAGCTGTTTCCTTTTTGATTCTCTTTAACCTCAAGGGGAAAGTCTCTTCTGGGCCCTGGACTTGAACACATGTATAATTCTTGCTTTTAAGAACAATAAGCCCATTTTGTTTGCTTTCTGGATTATATCCCAAATCCAGCCTTTCCTATCCCATTCATTGATGCAACTTTAGTGCAAGCCCTGGTCACTGGCCTCCTAACCACCACATTAAGCTTTAGTTCGCTACTCAGTAGCTAGTGGGAGCTCTTTAAAGCTCAAATTTGTTTAGAAACCTTCACCTGCAATGGAGTAAAATTCCAACTGTTCACTATGGCCTGTAGGCTTCTGTGTCCTGACTGCCGGTGACCTCACCTCCCTCTGCTTCCCCCTCCTTCTGGCCTTCTGCCTACCCCTCACACAAAGCCTCTCTGGACCCACTGTGCCTTCCACTAGAAATTTATAACTTCCTGTCCTCATGGCTGGCTCCTCATTATTCACATCTCAACTCAAATGTCAACTCCTCAGAAAGTTCCCTGAACACTGTGGCCGCAGAAGCCCCACCCGACTCCCTATCTACCCAGCCACCTAAGCTCTCTGGCATCTGTCTGTACTCAGCTATGCCATCTATCTTTCCTCTCTCCCTACCACAACTGGGCTATAAGCTCCTGGAAGGTAGGGTCCAAGTCAGTCTTGGTCATTTGGTATTTCCTAGGCCTGGCACAGCACCTGACCAAATAGTAGGCATTAAACACACACTGGTTAATTGACTGACAGAGTGACACTAAGAGCTTCTGGTGAGAGTCTCCTCTTTCAGAAAAGGCTGAACACCTTCCTGCTCTCAATCTCTTCTTTCTAAGTAGGAGTCCCCCACCCTGTGGACACTTAGCAGAACATTTTAGGGATGCATGGGTTAACACCTTAAATAACATTGAATCATAGAATGAGAAAGTGGAGCTTCTCTTTGAATTCATCTGATTATATAAAAGTTCTCAGTGTTACTCTTCATCACTTCTTCAATACTGGCTAACTTCTGATTTTTACCAAGTCCTCAGTCTTACAATTTCCTGCAGATACCAATACCTAGCTAGATTATAACATGATACTGTTTTTAGTGTGCATATTTTATAAATACCTCCTATTAAAATGGAAAGCAATTTTAAATAATGTTATGGTGTTCCTCTTTTAAATTAATATATTTAGGCCTTTTTAAAAAAGGTAAATTGATTTAAAGACATTAAACACAGGTGTGAGTTGGACTGGAGCCTTTTTCGTGGACTCACTGCATGAGTTTGGGGACCTCTTTGTCAGTTTCTGTTTTCCTCCGATGTGTAAGGCATGTATTCTTTTCTGTGTACTTCGGACCACTAGATGTGACCTGTGGGCATGGGTATAGAGAATGGTTATTCTCTATTTATTACAAAATACTTAATATCCTGGTGTCAAAGTTCCCTAATGAAGCCAGGCCCTGGCTTCTCATAAATTAGGCAAACATGAGCTTTTATTCATGAATGAATTCACCACCAAATAAATAACCTAGTGCACAGCTTTGCCCAGCCTGACCATGGAAAGACAGAGCTCACGTACATAAATCCTGAGGTCCAAAAATTGGTCTTCCAAAGTCCTAAACATCTTTTACCCCTTTCCCCACCCCACCACTGTGTCGGCCTCATCACCTGTTCTTTTTAGTTCAAATGGATGATGTTATGTACATAAAATATGCAGCAAATCCACATCTTTGATTCCTTGGATTCCAAGTGTGCCAACTTTGTATATTTTATGTAGTGTAGTAACATCTAGCTTCTCTGAGTCAAAAACATTCAGCATATTCAAATATTCGGTTCAAAAGCGGTGTGACTTTGGCCAAGTTACTTAACATCTCTGAGCACCAGACGCTCTACTTCCTTGTGTTATTTGCAAATTAAGTGAAATTATGCATGTGAAGCAGTGTCTGGCACGGTGTAAGCATTCAATAAATGGCTACTCGTATTTTTATTTTGCGTCTTATCAGACCTCCCCTGCGAAGCTGCACTCTAGTTTGATTAGTTCTCCTAAATCCTGGCTCCTTCCACCTACCGCTTCCACCAATTCAGCCATTCCTTCACCAGGGTCTACTGAGTGCCGTAGTTTCTGCTGCACGCTGACTTCTTAACCAGGAATCAAGCCAGGTTCCTACCATTGACAAGTCCACAGCCGAGTAGGAAAGAAACTGCCAAACCACGCAAATGGTCTGTAATCGAGGTGTATTCCCGGTGTCGTAAGGGCGAAATGCGAGGGAACGTCTAATTGTCTGAGACCTGGGGGCGTGAGGGGTGGGGGGAATCCTTCAGGCAATCGCCGCCGCCTATACATTAGCACAGGCACCAGTGCGGGGCGGACTGCTGGTGCGCCCCTAAAGATGTGCGGTGGGCAGGATCCGGGCCGGGAGGGCCTCGAATGGCGAGCCAGGAGATCGGGCTTCTTACTGAGCAAAGGGGCCGCGAAGAGCTTGTGCTCGGGATGGAGGCCTCGGCCTGCCGGGCCAAGCGACGGCGCAGGAACCTGGACAGCGCAGAGCCCAGGGGAGCCCCTGGGCCGCGGCCGCCGGAAGAGCCCCCGCCGTCGAGGGCGGAAGTGACGGCCTGCCAGCGACCCAACCGCGGAAGGACTCCCGGCATTCGCAGCGGCGGGAGGAGCCGGAACGTCCCGGCGCGTGGCCAGGCGGCCCAGTTGCGCGGCGGCGGCCACGGGGGCGGGCCGCTCTCCTAGGGCAGCTGATTGGTCGGCCTCCGGAACCGTGGCGGCGGCGCGTGGAACTGTCACCTCCGCCTGGTGAGTCCTGGATTGGAACCTGGGCCCTGCCGGCTTCGGAGCTGCCCCTGGGCCCCCGGCTGTGGCTCCCTACGGCCGGCTTCGTACTCCCGGCCCGCCGAGCCGTCACTGGAGGGGGAGAACCAGACTTCCCTCGGGCCTGCTTGCTCTCTGCTGTCCAGGCTTTTGGGCCAGGACCCCGCCGGGACTTTTTGTGGGCCTGAGTGGCCCCCCTCCCTAGAGACAGTCTGTGCGAGGTTGTGGCTGGAAGGAAGGCCGAAGCAGCAAATAGAGTCCCCAGGACAAGCCTGTGGGAGGCGCCGAGGAGGCCTCCATGCGGGCCTGGGGGGTGCGGGGCGGGGGCGCCCGGTGGAGGAAGAGGCAGGGGACACATGGGTTTGGAGCCGGGAAGGGGCCTGGGCGAGTAGGGAATTTGGGCGTTGGGAGGCTGGGACCCCAGGGCTGAGGTCAGAACCCCTGGAGAGAGCACTGTCCGAGGATTGGGGTGAAAGAGCAGAAGCCCGCGGAGAACAGCCGTAAACGAAGGTATAGGGAACTGCCCCCCTATCCAAGTTACCAGTTTTAGGGATTTTGTGGGTTTTGGCAGAGCAGGAGCCCCCACAAAGATAAAGCATGATAAGGCCTAATAAATGTATTTTATATTTGGTCATTACTTTGGTAAAAGGAACACATAATTTTTTACAAGCTTTATTCTGAAAGTGTTCAGACTTACATAAAAATACAGAAAATACATAAAAATACAGAAAATAGCCTACCATTAGGGATCCTAAGTACTCATCACTCAGCCTCAACCACAAATGGCCAACCTGGTTATATCACAAATACGCCAAGACTCTCCTCAAATCCACACTGATATTATTGAGGTAGAGCAGGACATGGGGCAAGCATCATGATTAACTTTTCCTGCCTATGATGAAAAATACCAAGATATAAATAGTATAGTAAGAACAGGAGGGACTCCACCTTAAGACTAAGATTCCATTTTTAAAATGAGGGACTTGGGAGGTAAGATTCCTAACACGTTTTTATGGTAATGAGCCAATAACCGAACCTATCTTAGGCAGGGCAAGCAGTCCTAAATGATACGTTTCCACTGCTTGAGGGTAGCCATTATCTTGGAGAAGAACAGGACCAATACATTCCCTGTGTCAAGTTTATCTTGCAGAATATCTAGAGGACTGTCTATGATGGTGACATAATATCTCTCACCAGAGATAGACATCATGAGACCACAGTCAGCCTAAGCTCCCCTGGCCTTTTACCGATTCTTAAAAATGCAAGTCCTAAACTTTTAAGCACGCCTCCTCTCTGAGGTCACCTGCACTCCTGTCTGAGTGTGTGCTGTCTTATCAAATAAACTTTACTGTTGCATAAGTCTGTTGCACTTCGTCTCTGAACTCTTTGTCATGAGAAAAACAAGAACTTGCCCACCTCCACCTCTGGTGGTAAATGTCTGTCACTTTGCTGTTTCATTCAGTGTTCTGGTCTTAAGCACAAGTCTCTCTCTCTGTTCTACTTCAGACAAGTAGGCAAGGGCTACTGAGAGCTCTGATTTGGATTTGGAAATTCCCATCGCCTGGGTGACCCGGACAGGACTGTGGCCGTAAGATCATGCTCTTTAGTGGCCTGCCTGGAAACTCTGCTTTGGGAAGTTCTCAGAACATAATCTCACTCCATCCAGTGCTCTGAGGCTCCCCCAAATTCTGGGGTGGTAGGGGCTTTGTTACCACACTGTGCAGTTTCAAGTGGACACTGGACACCAGGTGACCCTGGCTTCAGGAGTTGGCGAGGGACTTGCCCTGTGCTGAGCAGGAGCTCCATGGACTTAACCTTTCCTTTCTCTGCTCTTCCTTGCTCTCTGCTGCCTGCATGAATTTTCTACTACTCTCTCTTTAATTAATTTCCTCCTTACCTACACTCTTATGACCCGTTGTCACATTCTTTCTCTACCAGAGTCAAGAACCCTATGCCAGGTTGAGGTTTCACCTAGTGCTCAGGGAGATCTCCCCAGATTGGATTGCCAGACAACACTATGTTAATCTTAAATTTTTAAAGTTCCTTTCATGTTTAATGGGTATATAGAGGTTTAATTTTGCAAGATGAAGAGTTCCAGAAATTGGTTGAACAACAGTGTGAATGCACTTAACATTACTGAATTGTGCACTTAAAAATGGCTAAGATGTTAAATCTTAAAAGTTTTTAACCACAATTTAAATAAATTCCTTTCAAATTAGAAAGAAATCTAATGCTGCAAATTAAGAAAAAATTGACTTCAAGTGTGCAATGGAAAATAACTAATTGCCAGGTAGAGGCCCATAGAGTTGAATTTTTAACTGTAGAGGCTCTGGAATAAACCCATTGGTTTTGGTGCTCAGACCATTGTAAGCTGGCCGGGGGTGAAGTCTAGCACTGGTGGTGCCCTGTAGTTTACATTAGAACTGAGGGGTTAGGCCAGTGCTGCTGCGTGAGTCAGATTTCCCCCAAATGTTCCTGTTTTCTTAACTCTCTGAGGCACACCTTTAACCCTTGGGTAAGCTCCTGTGCCACCTTATATGTTCATTCACAGAAGGGTGAGTGAAATATGAATGCATCTCTTCCTCTCCACTCCCATTCTTTGGGGCCCACCTGGGTAGTTTGTCTCCAGTATGACATCTGCTCACTGTCTCCCAAATGTACCACATGCCAGTCGTTCACACTCCTAGAGCAGCAGGTGTTAAGTGGCAGGCAGCCCTCTGTCTGGCTCCTTTCCAAGTGGGTCCTACATAGGTAGCCCTGGAACCTTCCCTCTGCCCGCCCCGAATAAATAAAACGAACTGTAAAGGGAAGAAGTGACAGCCAGGTTTGGATTTTTGGCACCTCTTGTCTTCCTTCAGGGGCCCTAGAACCAGTATTTCTCCTGGAGATAAATTTTCTGTATGTGGGTTGGCATTTATTAGAGAATTAAGCAACCAAGTGGGTCAAATTTGCATCAGAAAGTTATATTGGTTTTTGAGTAATGGCTTTTTAGAGCTATTATTAATGGCTATTAATAATTACTAATAATGACTATTCAAGAAAAAATTAGGTACTTGATCTCATCACTGGATGTTGGTGAGGGAGAGAGAGGGCTAAGTGATAGGGCACCTGGTGATGGGTGACAGAGCAAACATTAGATACAGTCACAAGGTAAATTTGCTTAGTGATTGATGTTTAAGTTTGTATCTATATACTCTCAGCTATCAAAATTATCATTATTGAAATATCTACAGGAAGGAACATTATTGCTCATATGTAACTCATTTGCCTTTTAACTTCCTTTTTTCCCATGGAAACAGTTACGATTTTGGATTCAGCGAGGATTTTTAGGAATGTTGCCATCATGTCACATCATAACTGCCTGTACCCCGGAGGCGATATGAGATTAATGGACCATTTTCTTATGCTTTCGTTTGTAGGGAAGATGGAAGAGCTGAGTCAAGCCCTGGCTAGTAGCTTTTCTGTGTCTCAAGATCTGAACAGCACAGCCGCCCCACATCCCCGCCTGTCTCAGTACAAGTCCAAGTACAGTTCATTGGAGCAAAGTGAGAGGCGCCGCCAGTTATTGGAACTGCAGAAATCGTAAGGGATGCTTGAACTGCTTGGCTTCTTTCTCCAGGCTCAGAGCTGTGAACCACTTAGGAGGCTCTAGGCATGTCTCTACAGGACCCCCCTTCAAAGTAAACCCTTTGTAGGTTGATTGTGCCCAGGAGGTTGGGAGGACTAAATCCTAGCAGAGTAGTCATCCTTTATACCCAAAGCTTAGGAAAATAATGGGGAAGTAAGAGACCGAAGTTTGATAGCAAAAGCTCAGTTATTTGGTTAAAATTCTCTTTTTCTCTTGGCAGCAGTACCGAGCTTTGTAACTGGGGAACTAATGAAAGCCACTCCCACACTTCCACTCCCCAATTCTCCTGCACTCTGAATCCTGGCATTGGTGCAGTCTTCCTGTCTGCCTTTGCCCAAATGTTTCTCTGTAGCCCTTGGGACTTCAAGATAAATAATTCCACAGGGAATCTGAGGAAATGTCTTCCATACCCTTAATTGTCAGTGCCAAGATGAACAAACAGGAAAAGAGAGGAGGATGGGAGCATTTAAGGCTGGACTGCTCTGAAGGCAGGACCTGTCCTTTATTCTTAGTGCAACACGGTCCCCTTCTGGGTAATAAAGAATTAAAGACAAGGAGGAACCATTAACGGCTGCACAATTGCTATGCAGTCTGCATTTTGTCCAGTGCTGCATAAATGAATATATTTAGCCAAGATATTTAACCCTGTGGTCCCTGAGTTGCTTGCAGATTACATTCTCAGATCACCTTGCCTACATTAAAAAAAAACTACAATTAATTATTTTGAAATAGGTAATATTTCATTGTATATATTCATAGTTCAAAATTCAAAACATAAGAAATATATATATAATTCAAAAAATACAAGGTGATAAGTCTCCCTCCCGGTTCTGTCCCTAGCCATCCAATTCCTCACCGTGTTATTAGTTTCATGTGTATCTTTCCAAAGATCAGTACACGAATGAGCAAGTGTGTGGTTGTATGCACACATAACCTTTTCTTTTTTTAACAGAAGTAGCAGTGACAAATACACTTTTCTGCACATGTATTTAACAGTGTGTTTTTTTGGAGAGATTCTATACCAGTTCATAAAGTGCCACCTCATTCCTTTTTTATGGTGCCAGGTATTCCATTGAGTGATAGGCTCACAATGTGATCCCTAGCCGATCTCCTAGCGGGGGGCATCTGGGTAGTTTCCTTCTCTTGTGATTACAGATAATGCCCAGGAAATAACCGTGGACATATATCCTTTGGCACATGTGCAAGTACACTGGCTCTCCCTTATTCTTGAAATAAAATACCATTTTGCTTGCGTTTGCCCTTTCTGGTGTGCATCTTCATGTGAATGTGTATCAACATTTGTGTGTTTGAGAAAAACCAGTTGAGTTGGTCTCACCGCCTCAGTGGTTGGTCTCTTGCCTTCGCATTGAGGAAACCAAGTGTAGGAGGTTGTGATACCTACAATCACTTTGGAACAATTAGGTTCCAAAAGGTTCTTTTTTCTTCCTTCTCAGTTTTCCAAATATTCTAGAATATGTAGTTTTTAAAAAAGAAGAAAATAATGGTAAAGGGAGACAGTAAGTAGAAGACATTAAATCATAAATTAAGATGCCTTTTCTGACAGTTAAATAAGAACTGGAGAAATGCCTGGCTGCTTTTTAGAAAGCTGTATGAAGTGAAAAGCCCTGGAAGCTTGTTTGGGTATTTTTTGTCTCTTGTAACCCATTTTTAATAATTCAAACATTTGTATTAGTATAAATTCATGTATACTTATTTCGTATGGTTTACTTTAATAGGTACATCCCTAAGGAACATTTAACATCATTTTTTTTATTGAAGTATTGTTGATATACAATCTTATATTGGTTTCAAACTTGTAACACAGTGGTTTGACAGTGACCCATATTATTAAATCCGTACCCCAACTAGTGCAGTTACTATCTGTCAACATAGGAAGATCTTACAGAATCATTGGCTGTATTCTCAATGCTGTACTACTATCTCCATGACCAACTAATATTATGATGGAGAATTTTTGTGTCCATTTATCCCCCACCCCCTTCCCACCTACCCGCCCCAACCCCTCTCCCTTGCAGCCACCAGTCAATCCTCAGGGTCCATGAGTTTACTGCTGTTTTGTTTGAAACTATCTTTGTTTGAAACTTTTCGCTGCATCTCAGTGGTTTTCAATCCCTGGGGTCTTTTCAATCTCTTTTCAATCCCTGGGGTTTTTGGATTAGGTGTCTGCCAGGCAGAGAAGTAGCAGCTCTCACTTGTGGTAGAGGTGGGAGTCTGGGGTAGGTTGGGTGGGAGTGTGGTAAGCCTTTTCAGCTAGTGAAACGAAAATTCCTTTAAATATTTTACTTGACCCATTCTTAGGAAAGTCACCTGAGGAGGGCTGCGTGTGTTTGGAGGGGAAGTCCTATTTAGGATCTGTGAGGAGGCGGGCACTAGTTTAGCCTTACAAAGGACATTTTATCATCTTCCTTGACTCCCACCAGAATTCCCAAGTTGCTCCTGAATTTGGAGATTTGAATTAAATCTGTCACATTGTAGGGTATCTTCCTTTAAGACATAAAGACCTGTCTTTATGCCTTTTCTCTTTCCAGCAAGCGGCTGGATTATGTGAATCATGCCAGAAGACTGGCTGAAGATGACTGGTCAGGGGTGAAGCGTGAAGAAGAAGAAGAAGGGAAGAGAGATGGTGAGGAAATGGACATTGACCCTGGCAAGAAGCTACCGAAACGCTACGCTAATCAAGTGAGTAGTCCAGAGACGTTAGGCCCAGATAGTCCCACTCCCCCGGCTATGCTATCAAACCCCACTGAAATAAATGTTGCTGTAAAGAGCATGAGGCAGGAAAAAGGAATGGGAACTTCAGAGAAAATGCCGATGTGTGTAGTTTATGCATGAAGAAAAGAGATGGCTCACAGTGCTGGGTGCTTACCGGGGACCACGGCTGGAGACTGTGAGTGGCAGGCCGGGGACCGTTACCCCATACTCTACAGCAAAGTCACCAGCCTGCTGCAGAAAGCCCCTGAGCTATCGGTATGCTAACAGACTCTATGGACATGTTTCTTTAACAGTCATTGCACTGCTGTCCTGGGTCGGGCTTGTCCAGCCCAGTGCTGCTCCCGCCTTGCCCCCAGATTATTGTCCTTCCCAAGTGGTGGACTAAGATGTCAGTCGTGGTTCTTCACATTCAGCTGGTGGCAGGTGGGAAGTACAGCTGCGCTTGAATATGGGGAGCCTGCTCAGCCACCCCAGGCCAAACAGTTGGCCTGTGTGAGGCTGAGGCCATGAAACAACAGACCACTACAACAAACTTGACGAAGTGCCCTCTTAGTTCTAGAGAAGAAACCAGTGTGGCTTGCATTGCCAGAGGGGAAGCAGGCATGGAGACTGGCTAGTATTCTGGGCAGTCCAGGTATTCCAGAGGACAGGGCATGAGACTGAGTGAGCCCAGGGATCCACCCTGCTATTGTATACATCTCTCCTTAACCCAAGTGTCTTATTACCCCCAGAATCTTCTCCCATCTTTAGAATATGGTTCCTCTGTGCACACACTCCATTTTCTTTCTCTGCCCGAAATACAGCAGAGTTAACATCTTCTTTGACAAAATGCGATTCAGTTCTGTTCTTTGAGCATTGTTGAAGGCCCTTCTCTGTGTTAAGCTAGGCTGTGCTCTGAGAAGATTGACATGGAACGAAAATAGCCCCTGTACTCCTGGAATAAGTGTAGATGATGGTTTTTGCTATAAGAAAGTGAGATTAACTTCTAACAAGGAAGGGAGCAGGGTTGTGAAATCAGGAAAAGGTTAATGAAAGAGGAGGCAGCTTTGAAGCATGTGTAGGACATTGGCAGGCAGAGGTGCAGAACATTCCAGGGCATTCCAGGCGGGAGGAGCAGGCTGAGCAAGAGCCCAGAGGTAGGAGAGGAGGTCTGTTTTGGTGTGTTTACCGGGGGTCTTCATAACCAGGAGTGACGGGCAGACCAGTGAGGATGGAGCAGCATAGGGCTGGGGGAAGGGTCAGGCAGTAATATGTGTAGTGCTTAGACTGTATTTTAGGTTGTTGGGAACCACTGAGAATTTTTGAGCCAGGGACAGATTGGAATTTTGTATGATGACACCCACATCAGTGTATAGAAGGGCCTGGAAGAGAGAGACTGTGGTACAGAGCTTAGGTTTGCCAGAACAACCTGATGATGGGAGCTGAAGGCAGTGAAAGTGGGAAGAAAATGAGGTCATGAGTGTGAGATATATTGCCAGGTAGAATGGACAGGGTTTCACAGTGGGTGGCTAGGAGACGGCAGTATGAGAAATGATTTAGGGTATCTGTTCTGAGGTCAGAGACCTCACTTCAAAGCATGGCTCTTTGTTGACTTTGAGCAAGTTACTTAACTAAGTGTCTGGTTTCTTGTCTGTAAAATGGGGGCACGTAAGAGTCCCTGTCTCATAGGATTGTTAGAAGGATTGAATGAGACTATTTCCCTTAAATACCTAGCCCAGAGCCTGTAATAAATGTCCCACAAGTATTAGCTGCTACTACTATTTTTTTTAAAGAGCCATATTCAGATATAATTCAAAACCATACAATTCACATACTTACAGTGTGCAATTCAGTGGGTTTTTTGTGGGTTTTTTTGTATATTCAAAGGGCTGTATGACCATCATCACTATCTAATTCCAGAATTCTTCACCCCAAAAAGAAAGCTCATACCTGTAAGTGTTTAGACCCCAGTCTTCCTTTCTCCCATCCCCTAGCAGTCGCTCATGTACTGTCTGTCTCTATGGGCTTACTTGTTCTGGACATTTCACGTAAGTGGAATCATACAAGATGTGTCCTTTTCGTCTGTTTTCTTTCGCTTAGCATAAGATTTCCAAGGTTTATCCGTGCTGTAGCAAGTGTTAGGACTTCATTTTCCTTTTTACTGACAAATAATCTGTTTTTATAGGCATGCCACATTTTGTTCATCCATTCATCAGTTGATGGTCTTTAAGTCATTTCCATTTTTTGGCTATTATGAATAATGATGCTATGAACACTCATTTATAAGTTTTTGTGTGACATATGTTCCCACTCTCCGCGTGTAGGTGGGAGTAGAATTACTCAGTCATACAGTAACTCTTTGTTTCACCTTCTGAGGACCGCCAGACTGTTTTCCAAAGTGACTACACCATTTTATGTTCTCATCAGCAATGTATGAGGTTCCAGTTTCTCCAC